CTAGATCGGCTGGGAGGTCCCTGCCCACCCAAACCAGTCTGGGATTTTATGATTCTGTGATTTTGTGACATAAATGGAGAAGGTACATGCTGATGAATGTGGTGGTGTATCCATCTGTGTATGTCATGGGAAGTGCTAGAAAGACATTTCAGAGATGTGCCAGGTCCTCAGCAGGGTTGCCCATGAGATTTGGTCTTGATCACCATGTCCTCAATTGCCTGCTTTACTGATCAGAAAAGATTAATGCCTTAATCTTAAAATGGTGTTAAATTCTGCATCCCTTTCCTACGTTTTCACTTTGTATTTGTAGCTGTTACTGCTATTTTGCAGAACTTTTGGGTTGATTCATTTATCTTTGCTGTAGGTTATTCTTCCATGGTAGATGTTGATTCATTTTCTGAAATATCTGCTCATTTCTCTTTCTTGACTAGGCTTTTTTTACTGAAAAATATATGCACGAGCATCCAGAAGATCACGACAAGATTGAAAAACTGAAGGATCTGATTGCTTGGCAGGTAAATAATTTTAAGTCAGGTTGGTTGGGGCCAAATGCCATACAAAGACAATTTAGTGTCACTTTTGGGAAAATTCAGACATTAAACTATTCACCCGGTGTACACGTCTTTGGCATTTAAAACTCTCTTGAAATTTGAGCTAAAGTTCATCTTTTCAAATCTGACATCATTTATCATTTGATAAACCCACAAGGAACAAACATGATCAACTTTTTTTTTTCTTTGGTTTTTTTTTTTGGTAACCATAATATAGTGAGAATAGCCCATCTTTATCAAATGAGAAAATATTTTGTAATAATGTTGGTTAGTATTATTGGCAATTTAGGTTTGCATTTTAATTTTCTAAGGCTGCTTTCAGAAATTCTTCTTGGGCAGTAAGATGAAATACCTAACCCTGAATCCCTCCTCCTGTTTTCACGCGCTGGGACAGTGTGTTTTCACATATTCGCTTCTTTCTTCAAGCAACGTATTTTCCGTTTATTAAACTGTGTGTCCTGACAGTAGCTTTTAGCACAGAATATTAAGTGTGAGAGTTGCAAAAATAAACTTGCATGCAAAATATTTAGTAAATTCATCTAGACATTGTGAAACCTTTGCTTCATTTGCTGTATAACTTAACATGATACAAAACCATTGTTGATTCATAAAGGATGTGACATTTACCTGGTATTTTTATGATGCCATGTTAGAGCAGAAATTATTTAGATGTAAGATTACAGGGGTAATATTTCCTGACCCAGGAATGGAACCCAGGTTTCCAGCCCGGTGCCAGAGACAGAGCAGGAACCCTCTTGCCTCAAGTACTGCATTTACATGTGCCAAAGAATATTTTTCAGGGCTAACAAGAAACAATTCCAGTTGTGTTTCATAGTCATATACTGGACATTTTCCAATGGTCTCAAGATGATTTTATAATAATGAAAAAAAAATAAAAAATCAGTATGATTAGAAGTGTTTTTTCCCCAGCAGAAGAAAGTGCATCATTGTCTTTTTATATTCAATTTTGTCTTTATAATAAAGGAAATAATTTACATTTCTATAGGTTTCAATCTTAGAGGCAGTAGAACCAAAGACATAGAATTAAAAAAAAAAAAAAATTCCTCTGAAGACCATAAAACTATCACTGGATAAAAACTCTTTTGGTCTGGAAAAAAAATTTATGTATTTATTTATTTATTTTCTTGTGAGCTTTTACAGAAGATTAGATTTTAGGAGCTTTAAGTTTTATAGAGGAAAATAATTTGATCCCAGAAGACTAACTTCATGTCAGCTGTCTGTCTTTGCCTCTGATAGCGACACTTCAAATAAATTACAAACACACTTTTCCTCAGCAAAGATTCGCTTTGGTGACATATGTATATTAAAATAATATTACTATTTGAAAATATGTATGGCAACTAATCACAGTGTATTTTAATTATTCAGTGGTTTTAAATACATAGTCTCCCGTCAGTCTTGTAGTTCCAAAACAATAGGAACCAGAAAAAATAGAGAAAAGGGATCAAACCCTATTTTTATATCTGAAAATTCTTTTCACTAAAAGGTCTAGCCATTTCACGGTGGAAATGAGTGCTTCTAAATTACCTTAGACGTTTCATATACACTTAGTGTATCCTAAGACTTAAACCTCCTCTCAAATTATTTCCGTTTTCAGAACACAGGCAGCGTAAGTAGATGGGAGCGGGGTGGGAGCTGATTGCCAAATATCGCTGGTGTCGGGAGAGGGAGTTGTTATGGAAACTTTCTGAAGTCAGGCAGTGGTCTGAATTCATCACAGGCTTGACAGTGATTGAAAGCAAAAATGAGTTTTCATTTTTCAATAATGCGGGGCTTGGAGTTTTGTAATCACACGGAGATTTTCTTTATGCTGTATAAATCAATCTGGATATATGAAATAGTAGCCTGACAATCATATTATCAGCTGACTAGTTAAATTTAATTTATTTTCCTATCCCCTTACCTTCCCTTTTTCTCCATTGTTCTATGGAATTCATGGTCTTCAGGATATTATCCTTTTATAATTCCTGAGAACATTTTTTTCTATACCTTTTTTTCCCCATTATTATTTTCAGATAAATATCATTAGTAAAGCAATGTCCATTTTTGTCCATTATAGTGCTTTTTCCACTTAGGAAAAAAACGTTTCCATGCAACTACATCATTTCAAGCCGATCTTTTATTTTAACACGAAGATAATGAAATGATTGATTGAAATGATGGTAATGAAATGAATGATTGATGACATTAGTCACTCCGCATTTAGCTAATGTATTTACAGCATACCAAAACTAGTATATCATGTAAAAATCTCATGCTGCTTCTACGTAGCTGAAAGAATTGTAGCATACAAAACTAAGTTTTTACAATCTTATTTTATGATACCATTATTATGAAAGATTTAAGATTTACAATTTTATATTAATTTTAATAATTCAAATGTGTGTAGCTTTTTCATTCTTTTCAGCCAAGCAGATAAAGATTTAAAAAAAAAAAAAAAGAGAATCAGGGAATAGTGCAGTGGAAGTTTAAAAAATTTTAAAATCAACAGAGATTAGAGTTCTGGAATAAGTGCTATCTTGGGCTGGTTTTCTTTCTCTTTGAGCTCGTTTGTTACTAGTTTAGCTACTTATGTTACTTTTACATTTTCATTCCCCTCTCTAAAGGTGAGAGCACCCTGTAGGGTCTTTCAAAAAACAGCCATAAGCAAACCCACCCGCTGCTCCAAAGCCAAATGAACTGGCGATAGCATGAACGTGGGTGGCAAAATTCTTTCTCTGTCTCTGCTTCCCACAAAGATGCAAATAGGTTTAAAATTCACTGCCACTCGTCACCAGATTTCCCTGTGCCAATGTCTGGAAAGGAGACATAGAAAGAATTTTGAAGTTAGTAGAAGAAGGTGAAGCAGAAATGGTAAAACAATCTGAAGGTACTTTCCTTCCGTAGTTGATAAATGTTTAAAGGATTACGTGGTCTGAGACAGGGAGAGTCAAATATCCTGACTCAGAAAACTCACAGAAGTTCTGTAGCAAAGCCACAGGAAGTTTATTAAATTCAGCTTCTGTTAAGGAATAACAAGCCTTTTCTTCTTATTACTCTTCTTCCGTGGTTTCTGGTCTTCTTCTGTTCCCATGTAGTTGGTGTTTCCTCTCACCTGTTCCTCCATCTCTTGACTCACCAGTCCCGTACCGGGAGGCCACCAGCCTTTAGGTGCTCACATTCTCCCCACCCAACCCTCACCCGCGCCAGCAGACCCGGCCATCAGCCCTCCCATGATTTTGCTTCTCCAGGTGCCAGAAGCTCTCCATGGCTGGTTGTATACGCCTGGTGTATCCCTCTGGTGTATACCAACAGTGAAACCCTCCTTAGCACCTTCCATTTGGGGCACAGAAGGAAGCATCTACTTTTTTTTTTTTCCTG